TATCAGATGGCAATAGCATTAGATGACACGAGCGAAGAAATGACTAGTGAGCCAGAGACGGTAGGATATCGCTTACTGGCACAAACGAGAGGGGCTGGCAGGGGTACCTTACTTGGGTGTTCTCCATGAATTTTTTTTGCTTTTTTTCCTTCCTAGGAGAGTCAGTTGGCGGCTATGGGTTTGTAATTGAACGCAACTTCACAACGTGCGGCCGCGTGGTGTCTTCAAGGTTCAATTTCGGGCTGTACGTGGAAAGAATCTGTTCTGAATGCAGGGTACAGCATCGTTGTGTGAAACACATAGGGGGGGTCGCACTCATTGGCTGGGGAGGAGGGTCGTATTTGGTGGTTGTTGGGGAGAGGTAGGTCGTACGTGGATTCGAGAGAAATTTGCTGCGTTGAGAAAAATTTTTTCCCGGTTGTTGTCTTTTCGCGCGATTTTTTATGTGTACTGTATACCCCCCCCGCCCCTCCGCTCAACAGCGAAATTTTTGGTAAAAGTAGGACAATTTTCGGTAAAGTAGACACTTTCGCCGGTAAATTCCGGAATAAGTGCAGGAAGTTAGGGAAAATTCAAGAAGTTTTTCCATTTCACATTGGCTATATACCCCTCCCCCTCCTCCCAGACGGAAAATTTTTGGGCGAAAAATGGAACAAAAAAACTGAAAATGTGCGAAAGTAGTAGGTAATTGGTCGGGAAAGGGAAGGGTCGTACCGAGATCCTCTTTCAGGTGGGGGAGGGTTGTACCAATACCCTCCCTCGAAAGGGGGGGGCGAGTTTCGTACTGCACCACATTTCACACATCACGAGGCTTGTACCCTTGTCGATGAATGATAACTTGCCTGAGAATTTGTTTACGACGCAACATGCCATTCGCTTGGCACGTGAATTGGGTCGTTTAGCCCTGTGAAATCGTTGAATAGAGGGGAAAAGCTGTTGAAAAAAGCCCTTGTTGACGCTCTATCGCTGAAAACGAATGGTATGGGAGGCGAAGGAATCCGAAATTTCGAAGGCTGCAAGCCTGCCAACCACCTTCTGAGGGGACTCGGCCATTGAGCTACCTCTGTACGGAGGACGATGGTTGTCCTGCCGTGGGGGAAAAATTTTGTTAAATGCCCCTCCACAGCATTCTTCCTTTATTATACGATCCCCTTCCCTGTGGGACCTACAGGCTCCCTAAATCCCCCACTTCCCACCGCTTTTCCCAAAATTCCCCAGTTTTTCCAAAAAAAAGCTGCCGTCGAGGGGAGGGGGCGCTATGTAGCCTACATGAAATGGCAAAAACCGGCAAGGTGACCTCTGTTGGGGATCTCCAACCTACGACGTGCCCTGATGAAGAAGTGAAGTACTGATTTTGGAGAAGGAAACCCCCTTATTACTTCACTCTACCTTTTCTATTTTCAGTTACATCGTTCAGTGCTTGATGGACACCGATCTTCATAAGGCACTTAAAACTCAGCGATTTTCAGACAAGCACATCTGCTATTTTGCTTATCAGGTAGGCTGTTTTGTGAGTCCGATACTGTTTTGTTTCTTCTGAGCACTATATTTCCCTAGACAAGCATGGCTGTGACTAGCAAGCGCTGCCGCGTCCGGTTGCGCAGCGTGTTCCAAATACTTAGTTGAAATAGGCAGAAGTGGGGCAGTTCAGTGACGTGGGCAGAGGGCATTTCGCCTTCTGCTTCTTCCATGGACTTGTCAGCCCATATAGAAACTACTTCCTGAGCTCACAAGAGTTGACAAGTTCTGCCATGGTGGCTCGACGAGCTTGCTCCAGCTTCACAAGAGTTCACAGGTTTCACCAAAGTGAAGCTTGCACAACGGAACTAATGAAGCAGGAAAAGTGCGAATGCCCCCTCATCGCCGAACTGCGCCTCCAGTTTCGCGGAATTGGTGGTAGTTAATCTAAGAGCATCAAATTATTTAGCTCAATACTCAATGATAAATTACTTAGACATTTTTCGCTCAACGTCAGTTCATTTGAACAAACGTGATGGTCTTGCTGAACCCTTCAGATAAGGTCACAAGCCTTGTCGATCGCCTTTATAAGATGGGGATCCAATGAACCTTGAACCATGAAATGACTCGTGTCCTTTGATTGCAATATTTTTTATTCCAGGGAATCGCCACACAGGT